ATTAAAATTGGGGCAATCATGCACTTCCATACCTTTTCTTGTTGTCAATAGTTTTTTGAAGGAGGACAATCAACTAATGTGGGTATGTTATTTATATATTTTATATATTTATTTTCCCCTCTGTTTTTACTTTCTTCTAACTGTTTCTTCATTTTATTATAATATTCTCTTTGGGCTTTGGTTTGATCGCCAAAGATGGTTGTTTTGCATGTTTTGGTTTTATTTTCATTTCAGAGAATTTCTTTAGCTGCTTCTGGCTTCACCATCTTTATTCTTAGGGATATATTATACCAGATTCATATTTTCCAATACGTTGAACTCTCAAGATTTTCTACTTCAGTTTCTGACAAAATTGTTTTTACTGTGTTCATACCCTCTTCTATCCTCTTTTTTATTTATTTTAATTGACTTCTTGTTTGTCCTTTTGCTTCAGATCTTTCACTTCTTGCTTTAATGTATTCATCTCCTTTATCGTGTCCCTCATTTGCCTAATTAGCATTGGAACACTTCTGAAAGCCTCTCGACCTCCTTTTAGTTACATAGTGCCAAAAGATTGTCCGGTTTCTGTATCCATGACAAACTGCTTACAATAGTTGGAGAAGGCTTTGTAACAGGATGTGCCAGAAAGCAACACACTTATTGTTAATTGAATAGAACTGGCCTATACTTGATCGAAATCCATATTCAAACAATAATTAATACAGTTTATTGTATGATTTTCACTATAAAGGGAGACACGTGTTTCGGAGTTTATGATTGAGAAAGCTATTGTATAGCGAAACACGTGTCGCGGTGTATGTAAAACACTTTATAGTGAAAATCATACATCAAACTATTAGTTTTTTTTACACTTATTGTTGTTCGAGTTGATTTTCTCTAATATGACCGTAAATTTAAACTAGTGCACAATGTTCTGGTGTCTTTTAATTTAGTCCAACTGATCAATTTTCCTACCAGAAGAACCACAATTAGTCAAACTCTCACTGAGTTAATACTTATAAATTATTAAAATTTCATTTTATCGATCGTTTGTGTGGATATATATATATATATAGATGGTATT